GACAGCGTTGCTCGGTCGTCGTTGCCGGTTGCTGCTGATCACGAGGCGCTGCAATTCGCAGCGTGGCAGAGGATCGTCGGGAAAAGCTTCACGGAGGAGAAGGGAGATTGCGGCGACTGGTGGCGTGGTGAGCAGGGAAGGAGATGATGGTGATGGAAGATGGGATGATGATGACGATGGATGGTGAGGGGCTGATGATGGAGTGTTGTGACAGAGAAAGAGAGATCGAGAGGGAGGCTGCGGAGAGTTAAGATTTTTGACAGAGGAGCAAGATACATACAAGATGTATATATATATAGGTGCAATTACTAGGTCATATTTCCTTGACTACAAAGACAAAGTCACACGCGCACAATTCACACGGGTCAGATTTTTAGAGAAATCGGGTCCTAACTGGAGCGGGTCGGGTTCACGGGTACAAGGGTCGGTCTTCTCTCGGCTCAATTAAACAATCGCACGAAAAAATAAAACCAGGTATTTTATATATTTATAATATTTATATAATAACATTTGAAACACATAATAATAACAACAATAATAATAATAATAGTAATATTAATAGTTATAATAATAATAATAACAATTTAATCAATTTATACAATTAATAACAATTAGGCATCTAGACATTTAATAAAAATAACACTAATATTTATTTATAAAGATCAAGCAGTTAGACAAGTAGTGCACAATTAAGCATTAAATAATAACAAATAATAATAATAATAATAATAATAATAATAATAATAATAATAATAATAATAAAGATAATAAATAATAATATCAAATAATCCTTATACAAACGGGGTATAACAGTCTATCCACCTTACAAAGTATTCCGTCCTCGGAATTCGAAAATAAGTATCTAAAAAGCAATAAAATACAAAAAGAATCTCAGAAAATAAAGTTCGGATACTTCCGCCGGATATCAGCCTCTCTCTCTCTCGAGTCGCCTCATCCTCGCCATGCCGGCTCCATCGCACCTTTGACGAGTCTTGCTGCCCGGTTTCTCAGCTGATGAACCCTCATGTCCAAAATAGCCACCGGTACCTCAACCTAGGTAAGGTCTCACTCGATCCGCAACTCGCCAAAGTCCACACCACACGCTCAGGATCATGCACGCTCACGACACATCACACGTGGAATACGTCGTGAACCCCGCCAAACTAGTGGCAGAGCCAACCGGTATGCTAGTTCACCGACTCGTTCGAGTATCACACAAGGCCCTACGAATCGCGGCTGAAGTTTTCCCCTCTTCCTGAACCGGATCACACCCTACCTCGGTGCATCCTACAGGAACACATGATCACCTACCTTAATCCAGTACAACGGTGTTCTCAACATACGCCCGTACAACTCCTCACAACGCACCTATCAACACACAATACTCTCAATCAGCCTTCCAGTGTATTGACATCATGCTACAAACCTCCCCCATCAGGGGTCGACACGTGGTATCAAGCTTTAGTACCGTGCCCGGGTTACGCTGAAAACTTGTCCACTATCACACTCTTCATAGTCTCAACTTGAAGCATCCTAGTCTCCAATCAAGACTCGTGACACCACTCGACAACACTGCTGAGTCACAATTTGCCAACTTGAGAACATCTCACCTATGGCATAGGAACTAATCAACAAGTCTCACTTGTCGAAATTTATTGGTCCAAGGAAACCACACAACGGTTCAGTGAAGCGTGGAGCTCTCAGTTTAAGGTTCAGAAGAAAGCTTCAATGTTAAGGGTCGACCGTACACACTGTCCTGGGGAGTTTGTGCGTTCGGTGATGGAGGTTGCAGCTCACGTACGAGTCAACGATCGGCCCCGACCGGTAGCCTCACGTCTCTCAGCACGGCTTGCGTGCTCGACCACCACTTCGCGTGGCTACACCCAGCCAGGGTCGGTGTTCAGGTCAAAGTGTAGTGAAAAAAAGTTCTCAACTCCATGGTTCAAAATTCCCAAGGTTTTCGGATACATAAAATTTCGACAAGGAAAAGTTTGGGGTTCAACAAAAAAGTTTTTCCTCCAGGACTTGGGCGTTAAGCAAATCTCAAAAAGTTTCAAGGGCTACAAATCAACACAAGGCAAAACAGAGTTCCAAGTTCACCACCTTTTTTTTTCCAATTCGAAATAATTAATCACACGGATATAAACGATAGGAATATGAATGAAATTCCTAGGAGATTTAACATCGGCATTCCCAGCTAGGAATTATCCTAACTCAGTTGTCATTGCCGTACAAAGTTTAGCACAAAATCATAATCACAAGTCTAGATTTCGCCAGCAAACACTAGAATTCGATTAAATCAGGGTGGATAGATCCTAAGCCCCAAATCACAAGTTCAACACAAGAATAAACTCATACCTTGAGCTGGCACGACGAGACGAAACGAGGGATCAAAATGGTCATTAAGTACACAAGCGAAAGAGACCGTCTACAGAAACGCAGATTGGCTCTGATACCAAACTGTAACGCCCCATTTTATTTTAAAGAACTTACCAAATAAATTTATAAAAATCAGAGTTATTTTTCGCAAAATCTCAAATTAAATTTTAAAACTCAACGGGCTCTACCTAACTACCAACAGCAATTAAACCAACACACAACAAATCAGATAGAACCTACACATGCGTCACTAACAGGTATCAAACCCAAACAAGCATTTCATAAGTTCCAAATTAACAAATAAGTAAAAGCATAATCCCAAGGTTCAAATCCGACGATAGCATAATTATTCAGTTCAAAGCAGGAGAAATAAAAACTAAGTCAATAAGCAGTTCAAGAATTCATAACAGGCGGAAGCATAAGAATAACACAATCGACCATTGACCACCATCTCGCTCGTCTTTACGCCACCGCCTCCAGCTCATCTCATCCTAAAGAAGGAAGCGAGGAACAACAACAGAAAACAAATAATGGGGGTGAGCATAACCAATAAGCTCACCTTTATTGCACAGTTATCCAGTATAAGGCATTTTAAACATTTTCACGGTATGCATAGAATCCAAGGTCTAAACTCCCTACTCTGCCCTATCGCAAACCTCCTATGTACATACAACAACCTTCTGGATACAACAACATGGAAGTAACTTGAAACCTTCCCACCCCCAGGTACAACGGTTCATAGGATCCTTTCCAGGTGACAATGGAGATGTTTTTCCCCATTTGGGTACAACGGCTTGGGGCGTCTCCTCCCGGATACAATGGGCAGGTGACCTCTGTAACACCCCGACTTCTTACTTCCCGCCTTATCGTGAAATCAGAGTGCGAAAATTTCGCAAAGTTATTAAAAATAAAATCTCTTACTTTGCGAAAACTGATTCGGGGTGCTACCGTAAAACGTAACTTATTTTGGAAAAACTGTTATCTTAATTTTTAATAAAATCATACGATTACTGAAAGCATAATTTTTCCAAAAGTCCGGTCAAAACATAAGTTCATCAAAACCATCATCAGCAGAAACGTAAATCGTCATAATATATACACAGTCAAAACATAAAAGTCCTGAAGCCTCTGTCATCTCACGCTCCCGGCCCGTCGTCCTGACCTGAAAAACATGATAACAGTGGGAAGTGAGCACTATGACACTTGTGCTCCGCAGAAACTCATACTAATGTAAACATTGTAAATAATAACAATATCATGATCTAAGCATATATAACTGAACTGAAACTTAAACTGATATCTGATACCGGTATGATCTCGCGACATAAGTTACATAACTGATAACTGAATATCTGTCGGCAAAAACTAATACCACAATCTGCCGGCACAAACTAATACCGGACCATGTGCACACTCTAGTGGTTAGATTATGCCACTAGAACCCAGAATGGACCGGCGACCATTCCGAGCGGATACTGAATATACATACCTCGAACATGGTAGCGTAATTATAAACAATGTAGTACTTAGTCTGAGTCCCCACCTGAACTGCTGAAATTGAAACTGATGGTAGTGCTGATGCCTGATCAAACTGAAAATAATATAAACAATTACTACTGACTATGCTCACACTGATAATTTAACTGTTTAATTATGTTAAGATGCTCTACTGAACCTAACGTGATATTCGGACTTATTCGGTATAACTGAAACCGGCTAAGTACGAAACTGAACTAACATAAATTAACTGAGCTGAACTGAACCCGAAATTTTAACTGAAAATGACACTGAAATTGAGAACCGGGACTAAAACTGATAAGTACTGACTGAACCGGTCCAACTGGTCTGAACCGGTATGGACCGGACT